ATCAAATGTGGAGTAGGAAAATGTTTTTCTCTTGCACGTTTGAAATTGGTAAGTTGTGATGTCTTGGATAAGACAAAGACCAACTAAGACCAATGTGTTTAGTGTTTGTCTTGATAAGAAACCACACTACTCTTGAATATTTGTTTGTCAAGGAATGTTTCCTGACAAGAGAATCTTATATGTCAAGAGGTCAGTGGGAGTCTTAATGATCTTGAAAGGTTTCAAGAGCTAATCAAGAATAAACCTATTGTTTAACACTAGCACACGACTTGAGGTTTGTAACCTATCGTGTTGACATAATTTTATAGTTTTAAGTCAACTATACATATGAGTTCTATGAGTTCTCAATTGATTACATAGAGGCAAAGCACCCTGATCAATGGAAAGTACATTGATAGGTAGAGGTGAGCTGCTCAAAGACTTGGAAGCAATGGTGGGACCCTTGATGGCAAGAAATTAAGAATGAACAAGTTTTGTCCATAAGAGTTTGGATTTGTCACAAACATTATCTTATGATTATGGTTATGAAAAATTCACATGGATAAGAACACATACACCATAAAATCTAAGTGTCATAAGGTTTCTCTCCTTCATAAAAATGATTGTGAGGAAACGCTTTCGCTAGGAAGACTTTAATGAGATAGCGATTATGTAAATTGCATTCTCAAATTCGATTATGACTATGACATCCCTCTTCATAGTTCGAATTGTGAGATTTGGCAATTAGTTTGAACATTCGAGACTTATTGATATAAGTTCTAGAATTGTTTAGACACACATGTGATCTATCTAAGGAAAGGTGTATGAGTTGTTTTCTAGAAGCTTAGATAAAGGCTTGTCGAAGCATATCGTATTAGAAATATGAACTTTGGAAGTCAATAAGTATTGCCTTCTAGAAGTCTAATGGTTTTCTGAATACGTGTTAAAGCTAGTGGGAGCATAAATGTTATGCTGGTAGCCTGGTATGGATATAATCTTCATGTTAGTGGGAGCATGATTATTATTTTAAGTATTGCAAGTTGGCAATGTTAATTATAGAAAACAATAGGTTCACATTGCAAAGTTGCAGGGGTTGAAAAGTTGTTTTGCTATAATTAAGGGAGATAATATTATACTTCGTTTCGAAATCTAAAAGCTTGGATCGAGAAATTTTAGTCAAATTTAGTCAAATATATATGAATGTTATGTTGAAATGGTTCAATGTAAGGAAATTCTATATATATAAAGGATAATTACGTTCTCAAAATTTGGTTATGATTACGACATCCCTCTTCATAATCAAAATTATGAGAATATGGAAAATAGAAATATTATCGCAGGAGACTGGTAAAGTATCACGTCTTTATGTATGACATTATGAATTGCATCCCATACGCTTTGGGTATAGGATCGATTGCATATGCTATAATATACGACCGTTCTGATTTTCCAAATGCTTAGGGCATTAAGAGGGAAAAGGATCATAATCGGATTTGACTAAATTGATTAAATAACTGTCAAGGACAATCTGAGGTTCGCTAAGGATTGGTCGCTTGTGCGCAGTTGGAAGTAAAGTATTGAATGGAACATAATGACATTATTATGAATAGATAAGACTCTATTAAGAATGAGTTGTCATATGGAAAATATGGAAATGTTTCCATATTGGGAGTTGGACGTTAAGAATCTATGTCTAGATTAGAAACTTTTATACAAGAAGGATGTTCAAAGGAATGTACTTTGAATGTGAGACTTCATAATAGAGCACTTTGTAATTCCATTGGCCGAGTCTTGGTGACTTTGTGCTGTGGCATTACGAAAGGATCGTTGCATAAAATGTTAGAATCTAACATATTCTAGTAGTGGCGAGAATTTTGTGTTCTTACACTAACGATAAGGATTAGGAGTTGTGAAATGAGCATCATTGGAAATGTTTTCGATTGATCTATTTCACAAAGTATGGACCATAGGTAAACAGAGTGTGCATGCTTAGTGCATGGGATAACTGCTGTTATAATTCAAGTAATAAGTTGATTATCCGAAACATTATACAATGAATAATATGTGATCAATATGGTGACTAAATAAAAAGAGTTTTATTTATACTCAAAAGTTTGGGGCCATATTGGATTCGATTATTATTGTGTTTCACTTTGCATGTTTTGACTTCCCGAGTAATAAGATTATTCAAACCATCCACAGTCGCTCATACTTTGGAAGTAGGTATGAAAGAAGACTGTCATGAATTGGCTTGTAGATTGTCTAAAGTGTATTAGACATAACAAAAGTTTGCTACAACGTTCATGAGTGCTTATGGATTAAGATTTGAGCATTGGATTAAACCCACGCTCACTTGGATCGCTTCATGGATTTTATCACGAGTGATTGGTGAGACAATAATATCTTATATTCTTGAAACCGAGACGTGTGAGTTCTAATTTACAAGTCGGTTGCACATTGATAATATGTAAACGCACCAGTAACTTGGTGTCATAAAACATATTGTTGTGTGTGATTTGATGAGTAGGTACAAGCGAGCATTGAGTCAAAGTTTATCTGTTCCTTTTACCCAATGTGGGATAAAAACGATATCTGTGGGCCCCTCGATGATTTAGTGATGACACCCTAAGCGCTTGGCCAAGCCTGGAATAAGTTGATGTGTTCAATTATAGTCTGTTGTCAGTCGTCATAAATCGGAAATCGGGAAACAACGCATGAACAGAGAGTATGATTAAAATCCATGTCTCAGTTCATACGATATGGTCCAAGGATTAGATTCGAAGTCATATAAGTTGAAATAGGACATATACTATAATTTGTTGCATGATTTCCCATGGAGAGCGTGACACCACACCTTGATGTTGGGATGTGGCATCCTATTTTGCCATCTCATGACTAGAAGGGTTGTGCAATTTAGTTATTTAGCATTGTTCGTGTCTGAATGCATCCTCGTTAAATTCCATAATGGGTGTCTTATGATGTTGAATATGTTGGATTAGATGTCTAAGCCCAAAACTATTTTGGTATGTACTTGACCCGATTGTGAGCATGATCCTTTTGGGTTGCCTTCACCAAAGCAACTTGATAGGATGATTTGTGGAGAAAGAGATTAATTATGATTTATTAATATATTATATGAATAATATATTAAAGGAGAAATCATATTGTTTAATTAATATTAGACAGGAATTAATTAAGAATTAATTTCGTGGCTAAAAGACATTAATTAAATAAAGGGGACTAGAACTGTCAATTGTGTGATAGTTGAATATTGGGCTAATGGACTCCATAGAAGATTGGAGTGGACGAAATCTATGGGGAAACCCATTAGAATTCGTCCAAGGCCTCTAAGGAGGGAGTCCATGGGCTGCTTAGAGCCTAAGCAGTCAGATTAGGGTTTCCTAGTTCAAAACCCTAATAGCCTCACCATATAAGGAACCCATAAGGCCCCAAAAACATGTGGAAGTAATCCCTAAGGGTTCTTGGACGTTTTTTGGTGCCTCCTTCTCTTCTCCTAAGTCATCCTCTTGCTCTTGGTGTTTGTGAGCCATTAGAGGTGTGACACTTGTGACACTAAGCTTTCAGAAGTCAATTACAAGGAGGAATTGATATTGTTATTGCTACATAACAATCAAGGTAAGATCTAAACCCTAATTCATTTGTTAATTTGATTATTGTACTCTAGATATAGGGTTTATGGCTTTGGATGATTATTGCATGTTCATTAAACAAACTAGATCCAAAGCTTTAGAGTTTGCATTTACACCATAGGGCTGATGTAGTGATCAAAACCTATCAAAATATGATATTAAGGTATAGTTCCCCTTTATATATATATATATATATATATATAATATATATATATATATATATATATATATAAGTTAGATCGAGTGAGGACTCAAAAATAAGTGAGGACTGCGAGAACAAATCTTTGCTGCATGCTTGAAAAAATAAAAGGTGGATATTTGATTTTATTTATCGTCAATATTTCGCGAGATGATATGGCGTTTTTGTAATTATGTGCAAGATTTTGATATTTTTGACAAAAGTTAATTGTTTATTGGTTAAACTAGTTGTGAGACTCATGTATTATTTGAGTTAATTTAAAAAAAATTAAATATAAATGTCAAAATATTTGAGAACTTTGAATTTATAAGAAAAATAATGAATTATTATAATGAAAATATTTTTTTATCTTTTAAATTTAAATAAATAAAAGAAATTAATGAGCTTTAATTTTGAGAATTTTGAAATTAAAAGGTAAGTGTATTAATGAAATTGATATCCATTTATTACTACATTTATTGCAATTATTACATATGGAATTTAATAAATAAGAAATACTTATAAAATGATATGTGAAAAAAGATTTAATTCAAAATATTAGGTTTGATTTGTTTGAGTTTTTATTAAAGTAATTTTTATACCTTTATAGTTTGTTATGATGTTGTTTAAAACTTGTTATGAATTATAATTTGATTTTAGTTTTAGTTTTAGTTTTATTATTGGTTCGAACTTAAATTTAACATGATTTAAAAGTTTAAGATAAAAGACATGGTTATTTAAGAATTTTGACTGGATAACGTGGATAACATAAGATAGAGATAACATAATAACAATTTTAACAAGAAATTTAAAAATGGTCGAAACCATGACCAAAGATAGTTAGATACAACAAAAACTTTGTTTAGAAATCATTTATGCAAACACATCAAGCATTTGAACAAAATACACAGATTAAAAATGGTCCAAACCATGACCAAAGATCCCACAAAACTTTGTTTAGAAATCATGTATGCAAATACATCAAACAATTGAACAAAATCCACAAATTTTACATAGACTAAAGTTATAATTTACTCGTATATTTTTGACAAAAGAAAAAACTTCTGGTGCGCTTTTGTAAATAAAAGATAGTTATAACTTATACCAGAGTACCAGACGCTGAAACTTTTATATTTGCCCCCTAACTATGTAAAACCTTCAAAATCTTCCCTAAAATTTGTATCCAGCAATGGCTGTTGAAATCGAATCGGTGGGCTAAAGGCCCAACCTTATACCCCCGTCACATAGAAGCGATATTCATAGGAAACTTCTGATTCTTCACGAGACTGTGTTTACGAGAAGAACTTGTTGACGAAATCTTATATTGTAATCGATTATGAATCACGTTTGGTGAGAAAATTCTGTGAATTGGATCTGCATACAAGCAAAATTGTGAATTTAAATAGGGATTTCGAGATCTGCCACCAACAACCACCACCATGAGAGTGGCAGGGCAATCACCACCACCACCTTCTCCGCGACAATCAACACCGTCGTCTCCATCCACATTAACAGCAAAAGATGCGGAATCTCTCTTCCGTACCAAACCCATATCCGAAATCCGAAATGTAGAAGCTGCAACCAGAAAACAGATCCAAGACAAGAGCGAAGAGCTCCGGCAGCTTGTCGGTAACCGTTACCGCGATCTGATCGATTCCGCCGATTCAATCGTCAACATGAAGTCATCCTGCCACTCCATCTCTGGCAATATATCCGCTGTTCACGATGGTATCCTTCATTCCCTTTCATCTACCACGATTAACCCTAATTCTGCATCTTCAAACCCTGCTAGGGCTCGTATTTACGGCATTGCGTGCCGTGTTAAGTATATAGTCGATACACCTGAGAACATATGGGGATGCCTCGACGAATCGATGTTTGTCGGTGCAGCTGCGCGATACATGCGCGCGAAATTAGTTCACCATGGTTTAACTAGCAACGATGATAACAAGAGCGTGTTATTGAAATTCCCTTTGTTACAACACCAATGGCAGATCGTGGAGAGTTTCAAAACACAAATCTCACAGAGAAGTCGTGAGAGATTGTTGCTAGATCAAGCCGTAGGACTTGAGATCTCTGCTTATGCTGATGCTCTTGCTGCTGTTTCAGTTATCGATGAACTCAATCCGGCTCAGGTTTTTGAAATTGTTGCTTGATTCGAGAAAGTCTTGTGTTTCTCAGAAACTAGGTAGTTGTAAGGTGGCTAGTGAGGATGTGATCATGGTGTTTTGTGAAGTATTGAAGGTGATCCAGGTTAGTGTAGCACATGTAGGAGAGTTGTTCTTGCAGGTTTTAAGCGACATGCCTTTGTTCTACAAGACAGTATTGGGTTCACCCCCTGTTTCTCAGTTATTTGGTGGGATCCCAAATCCAGATGAAGAAGTAAGATTATGGAAATCTTTTAGGGACAAATTGGAATCCATAATGGTAATGCTGGATCGTGATTTCATTTCCAAAGCTTGTTTGGACTTTTTAAGGAGTTGTGGGAAGGAGATTGTCAACAAGGTCAATGGGCGTTACCTAATTGATGCCATTGATAACGGGCAACAGCTTTCTGCAGCTGAGAAATTGATCAGAGAAACCATGGAAGGGAAAGATGTGTTGGCAGGGAGTTTGGAGTGGCTAAAAACCGTTTTTGGTTCAGAGATTGAAATGCCTTGGAGTAGAACCCGTGAGCTTGTTTTAGGGCAATGATGATGATCTTTGGGATGAAATCTTTGAAGAAGCTTTTGCATCAAGAATGAAAGCTATAATTCTCTCTGGATTTGATGAAATGAATAAGATTGTTAATGTCAAGGAGTCGATTCTCACAATCTCTGGTGACCAAGTTGACTTTCAAGCTTTCTTGAATAGGTCTCCATTAGGTGGTGGGGTTTGGTTTATGGAGCCAACTAGCAAAAGAGGTGGTTTAGTTACAAGTCCTAAAGCATCCATGGTAGGTAATGATTATCAAAACTGTCTAAATGCTTACTTTGGTGATGAAGTTGGGAGAATCAGAATGGCAGTTGATAACCACTGCAAGAATGTTCTTGAAGACCTTTTAAGCTTCTTGGAATCTCCAAAAGCCTCTTTAAGGTTGAACAAACTAGCACCATATCTACAAAGCAAATGTTTTGAAAGCATTTCAGCCATACTTACAGAGCTCAAGCATGAATTGGAGTACTTGTATGCTACATTGGGTAATACTAATTCATCATCATCACCTCCATCATCATCATCATCATCTCCATCTCCAGCTATAATTGTTGAAAGATCACTATTCATTGGAAGACTCCTGTTTGCATTCCAAAAGTACTCCAAAAACATTCCTGTAATCCTTGGTTCTCCTAGACAATGGTTGAATGAAAGTAGAGGATCGGTATCAGTATCACCACTTTTGAGGTATTCTAGTGGAAGATTTGATTCTTTCACTTCTGAAAACCATGGAAAGAAAATTCTCACCTCACCTAGAAGACAATCTTCACTTACTGCTTCTGCATTATTTGGAGTTGATGACACTTCAAGCCCACAGCTTTCTGAACTTAAAAAAACAATACAAGATCTTTGTATCAAAGCTCATAACCTGTGGATAACTTGGGTTTCAGATGAACTCTCTTCTCTCCTTTCTCAGAGCCTCAGAAATGATGAATCTTTATCTGCAACCACACCATTGAGAGTAAGTTTTCCTTTTTAGTTTTTATACCATTACATTTATCATTTATGTAAATAGTTAAAAATATGTTAAATATTTACAGGGGTGGGAGGACACAGTGGTTAAACAAGAGGAGTCTAGTGAACACCCATCAGAGATGAAGATCTCACTTCCTTCAATGCCTTCTTTATACATCACCTCATATTTGTTTCAAGCTTCTGAAGAAATTCACCGAGTTGGAGGTCATGTTCTTGATAAACCAATTCTACAAAACTTTGCTTCTAAATTACTCGAAAAGGTATTTATTTTCAAAATCAAAACCCTAATTTGTGTTTCTGAACATAAGTTTTTTTACTCATTACTCATATTCTTGTTGTTTTCTTGATATAGGTGATTGATATATACACAAATTTCCTCTCAAACAATGAATCTACTACAAATACAACCCGTGTGTCTGAAAAAGGAGTACTCCAAATCTTACTGGATCTAAGATTTACTGCTGACATTCTATCCGGAGGCGATTTAACAGGAAATGAAACCTTAAAAACATCAAAAACAAAAACAGCATACAGACGAAAACAAGATGTTGTTCAACAAACAAAAACAGTTATGAAAGATCGCCTTGATGAGTTGGCGAATCGCCTCTCTCAGAAGCTAGACCCCATAGACTGGCTCACGTACGTTTCTTTTTTTATTTATTTATTTTCGTGACATAATTATAAAATATAATTTTAAAATTGTGTATAGGTATGAGCCATATCTTATGGAAAATGAGAAGCAGTGTTACTTGAGACATGCTGTTTTATTTGGTTTCTTTGTGCAACTTAATCGTATGTACACAGACACCATGCAAAAATTGCCTACAAATTCAGAATCAAATATAATGAGATGCTCCACAATTCCTCGTTTCAAATATCTTCCAATCAGGTTCATTCATGATTCATCTCAACAAAATCTTTTTTTAAATTAGTTTATTATTATAATTATTAATGTTGGATTTTTTTTTTTGGTATGTAGTGCTCCTGTGTTATCTAAGGGGACAAGTAAGTCGCCTATATCAACATCATCTATAGACAACAGTGTGACATCATCAAGTAATTCATGGAGAAATTATACACAAAATGAGCATATGAATATGGATCATGACACTACAAGTTTAGGGGTTGCGACACCTTTCCTCAAGTCCTTCATGCAGGTAGGTAGATCAAAGTCTGTTTATCGTCTTCAAGGGTAAAATCGTAATATTAAAAAGTAACATTTTTTTTTTTTAAATGCCAGGTTGGCAGCAGATTTGGGGAGAGTACATTGAAACTAGGATCGATGCTGACAGAAGGACAAGTAGGGAGATTTGGGGATATTTTACCTGCTCAAGCAGCTGGACTTCTTTCATCATTTACAGCTGGAAGATCAGATTAAAATTTGGATTTACTGATCTTATATTTTCCAACAATTAAACAAGTTCCAAAAACATGGGAACTTAAGGTCTCACATGAACTGCTGCTTCGAGGGGATTTGTGAAGAGAATATTTTCAGGAGGGTTAAGTTTGTGTGTTTGTTGATGTAAAATTTTGGGATATGTGTGTGTAAACGAGGTGAAGACTGAACTTATAATTTCATGTGTTTTAAATTTTATGAAGAAAAGCAAATAGAAGAGAGAGGGAAGAGGGAAAGGGGGAGTTTGAAGAGGTTAAGTTTAGAAGAGTGTTTTGTGGACTACACATATTTGTATACTGTTTTTATAGCGACTTTATTATATTTTCGTTGTTTCGAAACATTTGGTATTATGTGTTTATAATTTGGATCAATCCAAGAATTTTAACAATTCATATGTTTTGTATTATTTGTTAAATGAGATTGGACTCCACTTATTTGCAGCTTTTTCGTACGCTATTACTCTACATTTTACAAAATGAAAGAACTTTTTTACATGATACCTTACGACTAAATATTAAAGTTACAGCTTTTTCATACGTTATTACTTTACAAAACAGTGAGAATTATTTTTGATATTTTAATTTGAGAGATTGAGAGACATTCATTGTTACCTTTTTATGTAAAATTGACATAGCATAGCATGGTAAAAATTGGTTACAAAATGAAAGTTCGATTAAATGATTAAAAGTTGCATATAATGGCAACAGTAGTAGTCTTTTACGTAAAATCATTAAAAAAAATGATACATTATTTGATAAAGTAATTAATACATTTAAATTGTCAAAGCTGAAGGTTGTGAGATAGTTTGAGGACTAATTTTGTAGTTTACTCTTAATCCGTGGCCTTATACTGTCACTTTTCAACTTTATTAGTTACACTACCAAGGCAAATCCCCCCCAACGCATTTCACCGATCTTCTTCCCCAACGACGAGGAACTCCAAGCGAATTGACACGGAGAAGTGATTCCGCCGGTGAGTTCCACGTTCTGTTCTGTGTAGATCATCTTTCGTTATACCTATTTTCATGTATCCTCTAATTTTTATATGTATGAATCATATGATTCCTTGGAAGCATTAGTTTGTAGTGTTAGGGTTCCATTGAATCAAAATGTTCGTTTTTTTGATTAAATTGACAATTCTATGGAGCTTCCTTGTGGTTTCATACAGTTACATCTGTGCTTCTCACTCACAATAATGACAAATTTGATAATCCTCTTGTTAGTTTCGATTTGATTATTGTAATTATGGTATTTCCGAAGTTATGTACTGAATTAATTTTCGCTTTTACAAGATTGACTTGATTTACTGCTGTAATTGTTATGATAGCTTCAATATTCCTGTTGCTTGAATTGATTCATTTGTTTGTTGCATCACCAACTCCGATCAAAACTTATCTCGATGGCGAATTCATGCTTTTTGATTATGTTCTCTGCACCTGAAATATAGGTTTTTAGGCCATCTTTGTTTCCTCACTTTTTAATCCCTTTGGGTTTAGAACAGTGAAGAAAGGAAGAAATCTATATAGTGAACTGAAGCTGAGATGGGAGATTCAGATCCTAGAAACTCTTTGAGATGCAGACACTGTGCAGGTCCTCTCACCAAGGAGATGGTAACTTCCATAACAAAACTATGAATTTTGTTCATCTTCTGTGTGTTATATTGTTCTTATCAATGGCAGGAAACCAGTGCTTGGACTGTTGGACCTCTTATCAGAGATAGCTTTTCCATGGTACTCTTTTTTTTTTTACTTATTAAAAATCACATATGGTTTTTTTATTTTTTTGGAAAATGATTCTATAAACTTTCTTTATTTGATCTTTCTTGATCACAATCCAGATTGGTTCTGCTGTTGGTGGTGTGTCCAGTGCATTCTATGGATTCAATCTAGGTATAGACATCAGTGATATTCAATTCTTTACTCTAATTTCCATTTATTTTTTTTACATAAATCATTTTCTTTTTTCTTTTCTTGTAGTGATGCCAATTGTTCAAAGGCGAGTGAAAGGACCTATGTGGTTGCATTTCTTGATTGGTGTAAGCTTCTTACTAAATGGGACCTAAATAATTTTCATTTATTTATTTATTATTTAAATCTACAAGACTATATTTTTTTTATTAATATTTACGTTATTGATTCTGATGCAGGCCCCACCAGTGATAGTATTTTCATCGGCTTGTGCTGGATTAGCAGGTGAGTATTTATGTCTGTCTGGATACAGTGTTGTATGTGTAAAAGTTTTTTAAGTAAATATTTTGAAAAGAAATCATTGTTTTAGTTTTTGTTTTAACTGAATGAAATATTTGTAGGTGGTGCGATTCCAGCGCTTACTCAACTTGCAGCTTCATCATATCACGCAGCAGTCTCGTCAGCGCCACCTCCTCAAGATGATGACATCAGCAAATCAAGAACTTCCTCCACATTGTAACAAAATGGTGAATCACTGAGTTGACTCGATCTTCGATCTGGATTTATACAGCTTGAACCACATGTACATGTTTTTAATTTTTGCAACTTGATTTTGAAACTCAACACACATATATATAGTAGACTAGTTGGTGAGTATTTTCAAAGGTATAATGGGTGTTTGATAAGAGAAATGGTGAAATATTAGTGAGAAATGGTGAATTATGATATAATTTATTAACTATATATGCTATAAAACGTTAAGAAATCATCTCATGGGTTTGAATTTTCAATGCCAGTGGGTTTGGATAAGAATATGATCTAACCTGGGGAATTAGGGTAGTAAATGATTTTTCTGTAAGAATATAGATCGGAAATGAGGGTGTGTTTAAAAGAAAGACGGAAACCCTAACGAAATATTTAACACTATTTGATTTAATCTGTGGTGGTAGGTTAAAATTTGGTAAGGGTAAGAAAGTGTTATTTGTCCAAAACTTGTGTGTTTCAAGATTTGATGAAAGAGATCATAAAGTAGAATGTTATATTTGTCAATTATAAGAGCAAAAAAATGAATTTTTTACAACATTCTACCACATTATTTTCAAACCATTCTTCTATTCATACTCTCTAAAATATCATATTTAGATGGATTTTTTTACAAATTTTTGATTTGGATGATGATGGAGAATTTATCTCAAATGTTCTTTTATGTTGTGCAACACATAAACAATGAAGAACGTACGAATGTTTCGCATACAAGAGCGGTTGTCAATTGAGATCGTCAAGTCGTACATAAACTATTTGTATGTGATTATTTTGACGATAATTGTTTTTATAATGATGTAGCATTCGAACGTCCTTTTCTTTTGAATAAGACATTATTTTTACGTATTAGTAATGTTTTAGAGGCGCGATATGATTATTTTAAGCAAAAACTCAACGCTAGAGGTAGAATGAGCTTTAATAGTATACAAAAATGTGTAGTTGTGCTTAGATATTTAGGATACGATATAGAATTTAATGCATCAGACGAGTACTTGAAAATATCTGTGAGGACTGCAATTAAGTGTGTGGATTATTTTTGTGCATACATGTATGAGGTTTTTTTAGGAAGAATATTAGTGCAAACCTATTCCATGTGATATTGAGAGATTGTATTTGACATATGAAGAGAGACATGGATTTTCAGGAATGATAGGTAGCCTTGATTGTACGCATGTCGCATGTGAAAAATGTCCAGCTGCTTGGCGCATTCAGTTTAATCGAGGTGATATAGGTGAGCCGACTATAATACTAAAAATTGTTGCATATAAGGATTTGTGGATATAACATTCGTTCTTTGGAGTTGTAAGGTCTAACAATGATCGTAATGTTCTTAGCCAGTTCCCGGTTTTCAACGATATATGGAACGACAAAGCACCTGATATGTCCTTCACGATGAATAAGCATTTCGTACAAATATGGTTACTATATTTGTGATGGGATATACCAAAATTATGCTACCTTTATGAAGGCATACTCGATACCTCGAACCCAAAAAGATAAAGTTGTTTACAAAAAGACAAGAATCTGCTGTAAAGGATATAGAGAGGACATTTGGAATCCTTATTGTTGAAAATAATCTTAATTGTCTTATGGTTGGTCTGAATATTTTTAAGACAAGTAAGTTGGGGCATTCAATTTTCGATATATAAATATTGTTTAAAAGTTTTTTAATATTTTCTATGAAAATATCATAAAGTAAAAACCAATAACATTTTATTTATTTTTTAAGTTACTAAACTTTTATAATTGTATCCAATTAACCAACAAACTTTTCATTTTGGTTCTAATATACCATCGATTATGTTGACACATCCGGTGACATGGACTCCATATGAGTTGGTAACCGGTATCAAAGGTATAATAGAACCAAAAAAATTTGATGATCAATAGGATGTAATTAAAACTTTAATGACTAATGGGTAAATTTTGTGTGATGATCATTTTTTCCCTAAAAAGATTATGAACCATGAGGGTAAGAATTGATATTTTTTCTCGAGTTAAGGGTAGTAGATGAAATGTTGGTTAGGGCAGCATAGATCAGGTATCAGGGTGTATAAAAGGAGAACAAAACCCTAAAGCTAGGGTTTAACACTACTTGATCTTATCTGAGCGGTACCGGGAAGGGACTACGGCGGCGATGGTGATAGTCGTATCGGAGAAACATGGCGGATATTGTCACCCATCCACGACATCTTCTGGTGTTTAATGGTTGCAGGAGACTCCGTCATGATCTTCTCAGTTCGCCTAATCGCTATTCTCTTCCTTAGTTCCTCCGGTCATCCGCGATGAAGACTGCCCGCTTCCGGAGCCATAAATTCGATTATAATCGGGGCGATGATGGCCGCGCGGGCTAACCAAAACAAATTATTTTTCTTTATTAGGTTGATTTATGCATTCGTTTTTAGTCTCTACAAATTAAAGCCCCTGACTTTTTCGAAATCAATAGATTTTTTTCGGCAATTTAGGATTTTACTTGTTGATTTTCAAATTAAAGCCCCTTGTTTGTAAAAGTAAACTATGATTTTCAAGATCAAAATGCTCTTTTTCTCAATAAAGTGTCATATATTTGTTATTTATATTCGTAATTGTGTTTGCTTTGATCCAGAGACGATTCTTGCTTGATTGTTAGTTTGTGGAATAAAGCCTGAAATTCAAAAATCCGATCGAAGTAATGCGGCTGTTGATGGTTGAAGCTGGTCCTCCCTCTGGATCTCCGGTGTTGCTGTATGTTGTCTCTCTTTGATGCAATTTGACGTAACATAAATTCAGTCTTTTGTAGATGACAAGATTCACATATCTTTTATACATAAGTAATATACATGTTTATCAGTTATTAAGTATTGTAATTTATGGGTTTTTAAGTCCCATCTGGAAAACTTCTCCTTTAATCATCTTATCACAATAAACAATCTTTTTTAAAGCATTATTTAACTTAAAGGAGACAATTCCTCAAAAGTTAAAACCAATAGTGGATCAGTTTTTAGCACCACACTCATTCCAATATTGAGCATGATTACAACACACACAACTACTAGTTCTCTAAGAAATACACATACTAAATACCAACCCTTGTTGGTTTTCAAATCATACTACTAACAATCTTTAAGAATTTGTAGTATCGTTTAGGCATCCAATCTGGGCTTTGTAAAAAGAGCCCATTAAATTGGATCTTGATCACTATAAAAATCTATGAACCAATTAGTAACATAAACAACCGAAGAGTAGAATTTTGAGTTAGGATGCTAAAACTGTCTTCCCGTGTATGTTTGCCCAAACGACCAGTTCGCAGGTGCAACATTGTTAGAAATTACAGTTTTGCCATCACTTGTTGTAACTTTAAACGATAGAGTTTGACCATTAAGGTAACTGTTACTCTGCCAATTTTGACCCCAATTTCGACTCATCTTTTGCCATGTGGCTCCACCTTTCGACCCCTTTACAGACACCGAGATGACATCACCCGCTCCACCGACATTGGTCACAAGCACCAAGTTAAAATACGAGTGACCATTAATCGTGAACCTAATCCCACCACTCTTTCTGCAAGCAACTCTGCTAAAAGTTACAAAAAAACGTTAGGAGTTGTTTGATTACCTCTGAATCCGTCGACATTCAACGTGTATGACAAAATCTCCATTAGAATCATTTATCACTGAATGTTTCAGTTATATCAAACAACCCCTTAGTCTGCATTGGAGGGGAGGTTAGATGGAGACAGTCTTACCTTCTATATTGAACTGGTATTATCCCGGCTTTTTCTCGAGCAATACGGTTAAAGATGGGTTGGGCGAGGTCAAAGTGTTGCAAGGGCGGATTACACCAACCGCCATTGTTGTTAGAGAGCGCGTTGTTTGGTGGGCAAAAGTTTGTAGCCGTGACAATGATTGATCCCGGGTGGCACCATTTTTGGTCGTTAAAACACTTGATCTCAAAACACGCACCGCATGTAAGACCGTTGTTGAAGAGACTTGTACTTAGTGCAACTGTGGTTGTACCGTATCCTTGACTATATAGATTTCCGTACCCACAAGCTCCACCTGTGAAAAAATTGCAACTTTTATACCAAAATCAAAGTTGCGAAAAATATGTCAACCCAGTTGAGCCAAACACAGTGTTGGGCTCAACTGGGTTGGACTGTGTAGAACTGTTGATGTTCTTACCCATTGTGCCGGAGGCGTCGTGACCTCCGTAGAAGGTGGCATGGGCGTTTGACCATGCATTAACACTTGTGATGGTTGATAGAAGAAGTAAGCATAGATCAAGAAAACTCATTTTTTTTAAATGCAAAGTGATGATTTTTATGAAATTGATGAATCGTTCTTCTATTGGACTCTTTGTGACCTTGAACTTAGAAGAGAAGTGAGTTGAAGATGTTGAAGCGATGAATGGCTCTATATTTATAAACAAGACATGGAACTACTTTTTTCTTTTGGTTTTATATTGCTCTTGTTTTATTTATGTTATATATTTAATAATTGTAAGGGTAAATATATAAGAGGAATACTTTTGTTATAACCAAAACCCATCTTTTTCTCTCTAATAAATCTCTTTGTTTTCCATTCTTAAAATCTCTCAACTACTATATTTTTTTTTTCTTTTTCGTTTTCGTTAACGAAAAGTTGAGGACGCGGCGTACTGTGTAAGTGGGACTCATTTTTAATGGGTTTTGCGTTGTAATTGCATTATCCTAGATGCCTTTTTCTGTAGGCATCAGCAGAGTTTTCTAAAAATAAAATTGAAAGGAATCCTTCTTAAAGTATGACACGTTAAAATGAGTGATGTATCCCTAGGCAATGTGTAGATTTTGTGGTTTACTCTTGTTCAAGTTAAAGAAAGATGGAAAAGCAAAAATCCCTTGTATAAGTTTATACGAAAAGTGTGTTGATTATATGTAACTTTTTGAATGGAAAAAACCGGTGTGCAAAAGATTATTGTGAAAAGTGAAAAGCATGGGGGACAAATATGATGCGATTTGTAGGGGTCTAATCTCACTTTACAGCATATGAAGATGAAATAAATAGAATACTTTACAGCTTGAACTCAACTTCTGTTTTCTATCTCTTTTACGTTGGATAAAAAATTCTCATCCAAATATGATGTGATTCGTAGGGCTCAAAGGTCATTAGCCTTTGTTGGTTGGGTTTAGTTTCGTTTCTATTTTTTAATAAATACTTTAAATATCATCATTACACATACACATAACAAAGTTTTATCCCATATAATTTCCTAATTTCATAAAATCAAAGTTGGTTTGTGATCGATTACTAGCTCTAAGAAATCGATTGTATATCATTTATTAGAATGTTTAATGTTGGTTCAAAACCGGCAACACATGTAAATTACATGCAACTCACTAAAATATTTGTTAGATAATGGTACTTTGGGGAGTCATGTTGTACAGACTCCATGGAATAATTTTGTTCCAATAAAGTTGAACATCTTGGGTTGGCATTTGGGTTTGGATGAAGTGCCTACGATGTAGAATCTTGTTGACAAATGGATTTATGTGGACTCCAAGTTTTGTCCCCTTTGTATTAGGAGTATGGACACATCCTTTTATGTATTGAACCATATTGGTAAATGGTGGGATCTCAACAAGCCTTTTAATTCAATTTCAGATTGGATTCTTCGGGCGAACAACTTTAATTTAAACGCTGTCCAAAAAATGTTTTGATGCGATAATTATTACTACTTTTTGGGTCATCTGGAGTATTAGGAACAACCTTTTATTTGGATCGACTAAGCTGAGAAAATCAGACATTTAACATGTTGATTGGTTGTACAACCTTAGTTTAGCTACTTCGTTTTTTTTTGTCCAACTCCTTGCAAGATCTTTATTATAATATTTTCGTTCAAAAAAAAAAGAAAAAAGATAACAAACACCCGATAATTGTGTTAGTGTATTTTAAAAACTTCTAACATATTTATATAGAAAAAGCTAGCTGGAAGCTAGAAAAAAGAAAAAAAACAAACATAACAAAATTACATGATCGGGTTTTTAACCCATGCAGTCCAATTACGCTTGGCCTTAAATTCATGTACGCAAACCAATTAAACAAAGAGATATAATATTATAAAAAATGGAAGCTTTCCTATGCTACCATAGTGCTGTCATAAAAGCCGAATTGAAAATTTGATGTTTGAAATAGACCATTGACATAAAATCAGTCTATTGAAACATCCATATCACAATCGAGAAATAAGGAAAATCCACCTATGTCCAAACCCATGCTCTTGGGATGCTTGAGAGGTTTGATAATCCCTAATACCCGTTGTTTTGATGCCATCTTCTTGATATAAAAAATACTAAGAATCTTGAAAAATAAGAATAAAAAATATGATACATATAAAGGTTATTAGACCTGATGAGACCATAATACGAATATGTAATCCAATTACACGAAATTTGAGTTCGAGAACACGAAATATGAAAATTGAGAACAATGCGTGTAGTATTAGAGTTATTTATTATTATTTTTTTGTAGTTTGATCAAAATTTCTTCCATATTTAATATTTATACATATCCAAGATGGAAAAAATGGAAAAATATTTGCCAAAAATCTAGGAGAAAATTTGTGAAATGACAAAAAAGGAGGGGTTATTTGAAGAAAATGACAAATAATTAGGAGTTTTTGAAAAAATGACCACGACTTCCGCAGAGAGGGCCTCTGCGGAAGTCCTTTAGCTCTGAGGAACAAGAAAACTCTATGAGAAATTGACGTGACGGGAAAAAAGACAAAAAAATAAAATTATAAAATTTTAATTTCGTAGAGGGTGCATCCTTCCACAAAGATGCCCTCTGCGGACCTGTTCATCAGAGGTATTCCTCTGAGGATTGTTTTTCGCTAAAACATGGCATATGTTAACTAAATCGTCGAATAAATAAACTTAGAAACATAGTTTTATAGTTTAAATTGTTATTTTGAATCAATGATGTGTTAAATGTTGATACCTCCTTAGATTTAGAAGAAAACAAATACCATAATCGTTATTAGGCCATGTTTTAGCGAAAAACAATTCCTCAGATGAGTACCTCTGAAGAACAGATATGCAAAGGGCATCTCTGTGGAACGATGCACCCTCTGCGAAATTAAAATTTTATATTTTTTTTGTCTTTTTCCCCCGCCACGTTATTTCCTCGGAGAGTTTTCTTGTTCCTCAGAGCTAAAGGACTTCCACAGAGGCACTCTCTGCAAAAGTCGTGGTCATTTTTCGAAAACTCCTAATTCTTGGTCATTTTCTTCAAACAACTCCTCCTTTTTGGTCATTTCATAAATTTTCTCAAAATCTAGTCTAATGACCATATAGTTGTTTTATATAGAAATTGAGTAAATGAAAAAAAAAAAAAAAAAAAATTGGTTTTGGGATAGGGCCAGGCAAAATATACGGTCCTGACCCCACTCTAGAGTTGAGGTACACACAAAACCGGTTTTTTCAAAAATCCAAAATCCGATTCGATCTGGTTTTCTATTTTCAGTTCAAATAATATGATCCGATTTGAACGAGATACCTTGAAACATCGAAACACCAAAATTTTTTCCGTAAAAATTCTATAACTTCCATCCAACATTTGAATCCTATCCACCAAATTATCCGAAATCCGATAATTTCCAACCAAAAATCCGAATTGGATTATCAGAAATCTTATATGAGAAAATCCGTTTTATCCCACGTACACCTGTAGTGACAAAAACCTTCGTTGATGTTTGGTCCACTTCACATACTTGGCCCAATAATACTTTTCTCTTTGACACAAACTTCAAAGTTAATAGATTAGTATTATCTTCTTATTCTTCTTTTCTTTTTCTTTCTTTCTAACAGAAGACTTTGTCCATATTTTCTCTAAAAAGTAAAAACTCTTTTCTACGATTAATGTATGTAATCGTACTTTCATTACGGACCTAATACATTAATTAATACCTACTCTAATTAAATTGGCAATGCTTGAATATTACAGAAAGTTTTGACTTCGAATTGACATGGATATGACGTAACCCCCTACATTTATATAATATAATTATACATACACGTATTATGAAATCACTAGAGCAGAAAATGCGAAATGATAGAGATAACGGTCTTGGTATTTTTGAATATTTTATTGGTTGTAACTTGATTTCAATGATTGAGTAATTAATTATTTAAGTCGTTAGTTGTCATTCGACCTAGTCTTCAAAAGATCTCCAATTGCTTCATTTTGTCATCAATGATTTTGTAATAAACAAGGAAATGGATATAGTTTGTGACTATGTTCTTTTCATCTTTTTTCTTCTTTGAAAATAGAAATATTTTATCTGTAACAAATACTTAAGATAATAATTAATATAATAATATATAAATGAATATTTTTAAATGTACCAACGTCACTAATAGAATAATAGGTTGTTAGGCAGGTTCTTTATTTTAAGAGGCCAGAGAGGGAGGGTCCTGAAAAAGAAAAAGGAGACGGTTATGTGAAATAGAAATAAAAAAGGGAAAAAAATTCTTAAAAATATAGTATTTGGAACACATTCATTTTTTTATTCATATACAGTTGATTCTCTTAAAAATTAAAAGGATGTTTTAAACAATTAAAAGACAAAAATTAAGAAGCTATCAAAAGCTTTTATTTGAAAATAAATAAAAAAAAACGAAAATGCCCCTAAATAAATGTGATACTAGAAAAATATGTAGTCACAGATTATAGTAATATTATATGAATTTATGAAAATATTATGGTTTTTTATACGAAGTAAGAGAAAAAAAAAGAAAAGTTTTTAGCCTAGCAGTATCAGATTTTGCATTCTTTTCTTGAGGTCGAAGGTTTAACTCATATTGAAGACATAAGTGAAATTAGAAGTAGTTTATTAGTAGATTAGATTTGATGTTCTAAAAATAAATAATGTTTTTTTTTATTAAATGTCATTTATTTTTTTCAGAAATTTCAAGAAATCATACATACATTTTAACATGCTTAGTATAATTCATCAAGGATCAGGCAATCGTAAAAGTTACATTCAAACTTGGATTTTAATATTTGGGGAATTATCATAAAAACCTTGTATTTGCCAAAAATATTTTGTTTTATTTTAAATCCATTTTATGTTAATTAATATGATGATATGTGTACAAAATATTTGGTAGATTATCTAGGTTACTATAATATTAATTCGCGAGAAAACAGATTACTTTTTTTTTTAAACGTTTTTACCTTAAATGTTTTCTTTTTTATATTATAAATATTAATGCAAAAAAAAAACGTATTTATATGCAAAAAAATATTTAATTAAATATTGTGTTTATGTTCTTTTTAAATGTTATTTCTTTAAATATATGTACTTTTTTGTCTGGTTATACCGTAAAATATAAAAAATATATTTTAAAA